GCTGTAGACCAAAAATTAACACAACATTGTAATCGACTATACTTCAATTTTTAAAAAAAGACAATGGAAAGGGCTACCTCCTTCCTCTATGACTAGGTGAGTGCAGCTGGAATCTATTAGAGGTGGAGGCACACTGGACGGGACAGTGTCTTTCTAAGCCTTTGGCTTTTTAGGCAGCTTTTACCAACCATCAATGCTGTGCCAACCGGTGAGGACACAGGAGAAATGCATGATGCCCACCTTCTTGGAGTTCTGCCTTCCTGGGGCAATGGGACAGATATAGAAAAAAGTCAAGCAGGTAACAGGAGCCCACGTGTGCCACTTAGCACTTCCCATGATCTGGGCCTGGGGATAAGCATTTTACATGTATCTCTAATCCTCACAATAAGCCTATGAGGCAGATATTGTTAACCCCACATCGCATGGGAGGAACCTGTATTAGGGCTCTCCAGAGAAACAGTGCTACTAGGATCTATAGAGACATACAGAAAGAGATTCACCGTGAGGGACTGGCTCCCACGATCACGGAGGCTGGGAAGTCCCACGATCTGCCATCTGTAGGGTGGAGACCCAGGGAAGCGGGAGACATGATTGCAGTTCAAACCTGGGCTTAAGAACCAGAGAGGACAGTTGTATGTGTCCTGGTCGAAGTCTGAAGGTCCAAGGGCTAGAAGTGCTAATGCTCAAAGGCTGGAGAAGATGGATGTCCCAGCTCAGCAGAGAGAAAATTTGCCCTTTCTCTATCTTTTTGTTGTATTCAGGCCCTGGACGGGTTGGATGACACCCACCCACACTGAGAAGGGCAATCGTCTTCACTCAGTTTATTGATACTAATGCCAGTCTCTTCCAGAAACGCCCTCCCAGACACATCCAGAGATAATGATTTACCAGCTCTCTGGGCATCCCTTAGCCCAGTCAGGTTGACACAAAAATGTAACCATCACAAAACCTAGCCTCAGGAAAGTTAAGTGATGCCCTCAAGTTTACAGGGTAAAGTTGGTCTGTTAGCCACGCCCCTGGCCAGCCTGAGAGAGAGGGTTACATCCCCAACCAGCTGTGGAAGTCAGGGGCATAGGGGGTCACCAGGGCCACGTGGTGCAGAAAAGGGCCCTGAAGGATGGTGGAGGCCAGGCATGCAGAGGGTGGTGGAGGGGCGGTGAATATCCGAAGGTAGTCAGTTTGGGGCATCGACGGCCAGTGATGAATCCATTTCAGGGAAATGCCTGCTTGCTGCTTTGCTCGTCCCTTTCTTTGGTGTTGGCTCCCTGCCTGCTTTTGTGGACAAGGATTGAAATCTGCAGCTCCAGCAGGGCCAAGTCTGGTGGGAGTCAAGGCTGAAGTCAGCCTCCCCTGGGCCTCTTGGCAGCCTTGGCTCCTGAGATACAGGCCTGAACATTTGGGCCCTTTCATCTCATGCCGGTCCCGCTCGAGACCCCTCCATTTTCCCTCCATCTCCTTTCCTCCCTCTTCCTGCCTGCCTTTCTTGGGGTCCTCCCTCAAGACACAATTCTTTCCCTTGTCCCTGTAGCAGACTCAAGCCCTAGTGCTCGAGGCAGCCTGGCAGGGCTTGGCCAGCTCCATTCCAGGAGGGCCATGTGGTGTGGCTGGCCGGCTCCCCACCCCTGCAGCTTCACAGCACTGCCCACGGGGCCAGGCCAGCTCTGCCAGGACACCTGGGAGGAAGCCATCTCTGGCTTGACAAGAAGAGGTTGTGAGAAGGCCCGACACCATTCTCTGGAGAGCAGACCTGTTCTCCCATTCATTCACCGATTCAGCAAGCTGTCACGATGTCCAGGTGAGCCAGTTTAGCCCTGCAAGTGCAAGTTGGGCTCAGTGCCAGGGTTCAGTGCCCTCTGCCCAGGCCCTGGGTCTGGGTCTCAGCGCATCAAAGATGGAAAATAGAGGAGGGACTTAATGCTGATGGAATTGAAACGAGCAGAAAGAAAGGAGGTTCTGCCGCATTTTCTAACGAGCAGAAAGAAAGGAGGTTCTGCCACATTTTCTACCAGAGCCAGCACTGGCCTGGGGCCAGAGGCAAATGGCCCTGAGCCAGGAGACTTCCTCCAGCCTGACAGAGCTGCTGGGGCATCCTCCTCCCTCTTTAGGGCAGACAGGAGCCCCCAAGCAGAACAAGGTCTATGGGGAGCCCCCAGGTGCCTGTGAAGCTGTCTGAAATGCTTTGGGGTGGGGTTCAGGGCAAGGACTAGAACCACCAAGGACAGGAGTGCAGAGTGCAGACAGGTATTTCTGGAGTGATTTAAACCTCTAGACCCGCAGCAGCCACCAGGCATACAGGTCTTCGCGCCCTCAGCTGCTCCTCCCACCCCTCACCCCCCACCCCCAACCTGGGAGCCCACGCCCCTGCCTTCACCTCTCAGCTTTTCTTCCCTCTCGGGGCAGCGGTCAGCAGCCAGCTTCCCAGGGGGCTCCTGCCCAGGGTGGCTCCCAGCAGCCTGGTCCAGCGATCTTTGAGCTGTGGCTCGTGGCAGGGCACTTAACTCACAAAGGGAACTGCTCCCCAATT